AAGACGTTGAGGGTGGAGAACCTTGGGGGAGTGTATGATATGTGCCTATGATGGAAACTTGGAATGATACGAGAACGGATGAGGATACCCGATGGGAAAGCGATACAGGGTGAAGTTGGTTACAGCAAAGAAGATCCCATACGATGCATTGTAAAGCTCATGCGCAACTGATGCCATTTAGCAGATAATCAATTGTAATTGAGAGATGTAAATGAAAGAGAATAGAGAGATCATTGACAGACGACCACAGTTCAACGACACCTTATAAAGAAGAATAAAGAAGAAGCAAAAAATAAACGGAGGGGGGGAGGTGGTCATTGAAACGTACCGAGTTGAGAGCGGCAACCTCCACCAAACGGTCCTCACGCCAACCCTGAATTCACCCCAAGAGTCTTACTGGGCCTTCTTCCATCGTGCGAGTCTTTCTCTGGATTCTCTCATTCGCCGCTGACAACCACAGATTATCTGTCTGGATATGTTCCATTCTATCAGCGGCCTTCACTTTTGGTCCCAGCTCAACATGGCTTTACTCTACACTTAGCATGTGGACTTGCCTTTCGGTTCCCTATGGGTTTAATGAGCGCGAGTGGAGGAATGAGTTTGAAGGCTGCGTGCATGCACCAACAGCCCTCACACTTTTGCGCGCTGGGAGTAAAGCATGAAGGGGTAATCTTGAAAGGGCATGCGCGACGCGGGCAGGTGGGAAGGGGACGTATTTGCACCGTTGGAAGACGTGACGAATCGATGAGTATGTGCGCAAAGTGCTGAGATGTTGTGGACTGAGACAAAGTGCGGAATCGGTGACATGATGATCATGAGTCTTTCGTTCGTTCATACTTGATGAGAATGATGTAAATAAACGTATGAACCTGCTATATTACATTTGCCCTTGTGTTTGTTGCAGCCCTCTCATATCTGCCGGATCTCCTTGCCGGCCATTTCGGGTCGCTCAACCTCCCACTCATCCCTCAGGACAGCAAAGGCGAGATCGCAGACCAACAAGCTCAGTCCAAGACCCCAAACAAGCGTGATAGCATAGAAGAAGTTTGCGTTTCCGCTACCAGCATAGATCCACAGATGGTAGAACGCAGGACCGAGAAAGGTCGTGTAAATAATAATGGCGGCAATGACAAACGAATACCGCAGCAACGGGAAGACATGTCTATACAGCGGCACCATGCCCAAGAACAACGACGCATCCGCGATGCTAGGGTATGGCTTGAAGATGCTGAAGATACCCAGCAGCAGAGTGATCACCACAAGCGGCTGCTGGCGAAGGCGCACGCTCAACCCGCCAACATATGACGATAAATGCAGCCAAAAGACGGCCAAGAAGAATGAACGGAACGAGTCGAACATCTCGACAAAGAAGTACCACCACAGGCCGATATTGGGGGCCAGGTCAGACAGTGTAAGTTGCACACCATAGGTGGAACTAAGGAACTCCCATGAGCCGGTCAGGAAGAACGACATTTGGAAAAGCACTGCCAGAGCACCGAGTACATCCATAACCATAGTCGCAGTAAACTTGATCCACGCATTGGGCGCTCCGGTAGCGGGTAGCTTCTGCCTGTCATAGCAAAGAAGAATGAGAGGCGGGAGGAGGAGTAGCGGATACATGGAGAGGTATGATGCGAAGGCCAGGGCGACCATGGCGTGAAAGGGTCTGCCGGAGATGGCATTGGCGATGGCGTGGAGAATGGCACACGTCGTGAAGACGGTGGTCGAGCGCCCAATGCATGTCGCGATGGTGAAGGGGTTGAACAGGAAGAGCGCGGCAATGATGGCACCACTCCAGCGCTTGTCACGGCGCGGGGAGGTGAAGCGCGCAGACGAGCCGGCCTCGCCAGACTCTGCGATCCTTAAAAGAGCATGGGCGCTCAGAATATCGATAGCGATGTAGAGAAGGTACGTGAAGATGGGAAACGCCGAGAAGCTCGGGAGCAAGTTGAAGATGGGCAGCAAGAGAGGCGCCTGGTGGTAGACGCCGCCATCGTAAGGAGAGACGTTATGGTTATACAGGAAGAGGCCTTCTTGGACTAGATTTGGGTAGTTAGCAAACCTGTGTTCCTCGAAGACGATGCGACGAATGCCGAAGAGAAAAACAAAAGCTACAACATACGGCGCTTGAAGCTTGTTACTGGCGTTGAGATCTCGACACGGCCAGTCAGGAGGTCTGGAAGACCGGGGAACAGAGTAAAGAGGGCAAGTCGCAGGACGGCAGCACCGGCGTATAAGCCAGCCGTCCTCCTTAACGTTACCTTGCCGCCATTCATTGTTCAATTCGCCATACGACGAGGTGGGAGCTGTGATGTCGAACTTGTCCCGGGGTCAAGTTACTTCTAGCGACATGCCCGTCCAGTTGCGCTACGTTAAGTTGTCCTGTCAATCGCTGTCCCCGCCAAAGGCAGACTGACAGCTGGCCTCCACAGCTGGCGGGTCCCTGTAGGACAAGGGGTTCTGGATTCCAGACGGGAGCGGGAATCTGGGCCAGACGGGTCCAGTAGTAGCCTCATCTGCCTATCTGGCTGATGCCTCCTCTTCCCTTAGGTTTCCATCCACTACGTTATCTTATCTTTGATCAGCTCAGGCGGTGAGAAGTGGCATAAAAAGTTTAGGACCGCGATGGTCAGAAAAAAAGTTGATTGCAAGTGCACAGAGCGCCCCCACCTACAATTGGCTTCGATAACGATCGAGTCTGCAGACTGAAGAGATCCATCCTTGGTCCTCTTCTCCTTCTCTCACTCTCCCACTTACACCCAACAACCACAACCACCACCACACCCCAAAATGCCAAAAATCAAGAAGAAGGGCCAGGCCGGCGCGGCCAAGAACTACATCACCCGCACACAGGCTGTGAAAAAGCTGCAGCTTAGCCTTCCCGACTTCCGCAAGCTTTGCATCTGGAAGGGTATCTACCCGCGCGAGCCCCGTAACAAGAAGAAGGTTTCCAAGTCGGCCACTGCCTCGACCACCTTCTACTACACCAAGGACATTCAGTACCTCCTCCACGAGCCCCTTCTTCAAAAGTTCCGTGACCAGAAGGTGCTCGAGAAGAAGATCTCCCGTGCTCTTGGCAGAGGTGATGTTTCGGATGCCGCCCGCTTCGAGCGCCATGCTGCCCGCCCCGAGGCCACTGGCAAGCCCAGGTACACTCTCAACCACGTCATCCGTGAGCGCTACCCGACTTTCAACGACGCGCTCCGCGATCTCGATGACTGCTTGTCCATGCTCTTCCTCTTCGCCAACCTCCCTTCCACGAGCGCGGTTCCCGCCAAGATGATCGCCCGCTGCGAGCGCCTCTGCCTCGAATTCCAACACTACCTTATTGTTTCCCACAGCCTGCGCAAGTCGTTCCTGTCGATCAAGGGTATCTACTACCAGGCCAACATCCAGGGCGAGGACATTCTCTGGCTCGTTCCCTACAAGTTCAACCAGAGGATCGTCGGCGATGTCGATTTCCGCATCATGGGCACTTTCGTCGAGTTCTACATGACTCTTCTCGGATTCGTCAACTACCGACTTTACAGCTCCATCGGCCTCAAGTATCCTCCCAAGTTCGACCAGCTCAAGGACGAGAACGGTGCTGAGCTCGGCGCTTTCTCTCTCGAGGGTGTCAACATGGCCACCCAGGGCGAGACCAAGGCCGTCACAAACGGAGAGGAACAACAGCAGGGTCCTGACCCCAAGGTTCAGGCTGAGGTTGACAAGATTATCAAGCAACTGAAGGAGGACGAGTCCAAGAGCGACGAGACTACCGAGGAAGATGCCGAGGCCGACGATGAGGAGAAGCCCACAGACTCCATCGACAAGTTCGAGCCAGTTGCCCCTGGTGGTGATGTTCTTCCTCAGCCGGCGTACAGCAGCAGTGACCCTTCGCAGCTGTTCGCCAACTTCACATTCTATCTCTCCCGTGAGACCCCCCGCCAGCCTCTCGAGTTCATTCTTCGTGCCTTTGGCTGCAAGAGGATAGGCTGGGATTCCGTCCTCGGCGAGGGTGCTTTCACAAATGACGAGTCGGATCCCTCCATCACCCATCACATCATTGACAGGCCAGTCGTACAAGCCGCTACCAACGAGGATGGCGATGGCGAGGACAACCAGACGGCCCAGAAGGTCGGACCCAACCAGAGATACCCCGGCAGGATATATGTCCAGCCCCAATGGGTATGGGATTGCGTCAACGACGAGGAACTCAAGAGCCCTGAGCTCTATGCTCCTGGCGCCGCTCTCCCTCCCCATCTTAGCCCCTTCGTCAAGGCCGCCCCTGGCCAGTACGATCCTACTCTGCCCCTTGAGGCTCAGCAAACCGAGGCCGAGGCTATTGAAGCCGACCTCGAGGATGCTGAGAAGGGTAATGCTGAGGATGGCTCCGATGTCGAGAACGACATGGATGTTGATGAGGCCGAGGACGATGAGGAAGAGGAGGAGGGTGACGAGGAGGAGGTCGAGGAGGCCGAGGAGGAGGATGCTGAGGAAGACGAGGAGGAGTCCAAGACCCTCCAGCGTCAGCTTGAGCTAGAAGCCGAGCTCCAAGGCAAGAAGGTGCAGAATAAAAAGGTAGACTCCAAGACCAAGGCCAAGCTAGAACAGCGCAAGGCCCTTGAAAAGAAGGCACGCGAGGAGGCGGAGGACCTGGAGCGCGCCAAGGGAATGCTGAGCAAGAAGAAGCGCAAGCTGTTTGAGCAGATGCAGTATACCAACAACAAGAAGAGCGCTCAGGACGAGAAGCTCCGCGCCAAGAGGAGAAAGCTGGAGAAGGAAAAGGCGCAGAAGGCGTAAGGTTAAAACACTGGCAAGGCGTAATTTTTTAGCACTTGATGTTTTGAAATGGGATACCAGAGGCTCATTTTTTTTTTCTTTTTCCTTTCTGTGTAATCGACAAGTTTTGAATCCTACTCGTCGTCCTACGAACTGATGCAAATGTGAACATAATCGTGACATAAAAACGAGCGTCCACGAGGCTTTGGTCCGAGGGTTAGGGGTCGCTACGAACCAAACCGTAACGCCCAAAAGAAGTTGGAACGAACCGAAAATAGGACCAACGAAAGGTGAGAGCACAAAGTAAAAAAAATTGAGTGAGGAGTCAGAGGTTCATCAGTATCTCCATCCTTGTTGCTATGGTACTACTCCTGGGATGCTTTCGTACGTCAGTGCGGTTCTTCGACCTTCAATCTCTTGTCACTCCCGTCCTTAGTGATTGATCACCAGAATTTGCACCCAACAACCCTGCCAACGCGAGAAGAGCACCCACTAAACTGGGCAATACAATGTCTTCACACTTAAATCAAGAGGATTCCGGCGACGAGGATTGGGATAAGGACACTGAAGAGATCAATTCCATCGCATCAGATGAACTGCACGAAACCCGCCCCAATCGGTGGAACGGGCCCCCCTCCACATGGCTCACATTCACCGCGCAGGAAAGAAAGGCCTACCAAGCGTTAGAGGGCTTGCGCAGGCGAGACTTGTCAGCACATCTCTACAACGCGCACGCATTGCGAACCCGAGCCAAAAGGCAGGAGACCAAAGAGGTGAGTCTACCGAGGCGGTTTAGAAAAGCAAAAACTAACAATTGCTCAGGCGACCAACGATCAAGCTGAAGACGAAGACGGTTCACGGCGCAGAGAGAAGGAATGGGCTCCGAGCCACCGATGGACGGCTTGGCCACTGAGGACTGGTGAGGTGGTTGATGATGAGCTCCTCCCACGGACCGCAGACGAGCACGAGGCTTTCACGCTGCGTCCGCCCGTCCGGACCTACCCAAGCAAGAATCTAGAGGAAGAAATTTCGGCAACAATTTTACGATGTGCCAAGGAAAAGTTCCGAAGCAGAGGCTTCCCCGAAGAAGACGACGAGGATGATTACTCCGCCATACACGCGGTGGGCGAAGGGAACGATGGCGTTGTGGACTCGATAGAAAAGCGCGATAACGACCATCACCACCATGCCGAATCCAGTCAGTTGCTATCCAGCCCGCCACGGCGCAACGACGAGTCGGCCCGGTATAGCGTACCACTCTCGAGCCCGGTCAAACGTGAGCCGGTTTCCCAAGACGAGAGCAGTAAACAAGGCGGCTCTGCTTCGCATACCCTCAGCTCTTCACGTCGACGTCATCGAGCTCCTACGCCTACCTACATTCCTGGCCCGTCAGTCGATGACGACAGGTCCTACAAACTTCTCCGTCCCGCATCGCGGCGCATCCTCTCCAAGCTGGACGAAACCTTGACAATCCTACACAACGCCCGCGCCGCCGGTCTTCGCGACCTGTCCGAATCTTCTGCTAGTGACACTGAGGATAACGACAACGACGCCGAGACGGAAGGGCCTGATCGACAGCAGCAGCAGCAGCGCACACTAAGGGGAAGACCCCGTGCGCGCTCCCCATCACCTTCCGCAGAAGCGACAGCGTCCGAGGCTAAATCGAATCCGCCGCGACGAACCAGCAAGCGAGGGCGTAAAAGAAAGCTACGCATTCCCCTCGAGGGCGAGACCGAGCAGGAAATGCTTGCACGCGTCGCCCGCGAGACGCACAAGCGGACACCCTCTTTCTTTCGCTCTCGGGCTTCCTCTTTCCACACTACCGACGACGCCGACGCCGACGAAACAGCTTCTGAAGCCGAAGCCCGCGGGCCACCAAGGTCATACCAACTACCCTCCTCCAAGAAGAAGAAGACAACGGAACGTCCCAATAGGCACAGGGCCAGAAGCAGAAGCAGAAGCAGAAGCCGAAGCGTAACCAGCACCGCCGCCTTGACCGCCGCCCAAGAAAAAGACCGCATGGGCCGCGTCGCACGCTGGGGTCTCCGCGACTGGCGCGACGTCCTCGGGGCAGCTGCCCTGGCCGGGTTTTCGCAGAGCGTGATTGCTCGCGCGACGCAGAGATGCGCTACGCTTTTCGGGGAAGACATGGCGATGCATACCCTTTGTTCTTCTTCCTCTAGGCGTGTCAAGACGATGATTTACCACCCCGGTGACCCGCTCCCCGACTCTTCTGAAGAGGAGGTGGACGCCACTGATATTGCGTTGGAGCAGAGACGGACGGTTAGTCGACAGCCCAGTCTTGTGAGGACGTTTTCACCTGATGTCGATGATGCGCAAGAAGACGAGGAAGTCATGAAGGCTGTTGAAGCTGCTTCTGAAGCTGGAACAGAAACAGAAAGGGCACGCGGTAGAAGCGAAAGCCCGGCCCGTAGCAGGAGCAGAGCTAGAAGGGCGGGTACACCCGCACTCGGTGGCGGGCTTAGGGTGAGGAGACGGTCGGTCACGCCGGCGGCCGGAGGGGATGTGTATTTCTGCCCGTACCCTGAGTGTGCGAGAGCTGTGGAAGGGTTTGGGAGAAGAGCGAACATGCATCGACATTTGAAGCTTGTTCATGGGCGGAGTCCACCTGCTTCTCCCGCAGGCTCTGTAGTGGGAAGGGATGATCAAGATAGTATGGATGAGATGGAGGGTGGTATACATTTGGACGGGTTTTTGCAGCCGATTAAGGTACGGAAGGGGTGGAGAGGAGGGGATCTAATACAGAGGGAGAGGGAAGGAGGGAGGGGGAAAATTAGGCCGGAGTATGGGTCGGATGTGGACATGAAGCTTGGGGATGATGAGACTAGAGGACATGAGATCGACCTTTGAAACAGATTAGTCTTGATATCCATCTTATGAAGATTTCGAGAAATAGCAAAATCTGAACTGGGAAAACTGCTGTTATGGAAAATTGATGCGGATGCTCTTTACCATACAAAAGTCTCACTTACCACTGCCATCTCTCTTAGTCTTCAGGCAACCCTCCCAGGGTACGATCTTTCCTAATTTTATTTCCTCCATAAACTTTCATTTTTTGAATGTAACTCTTGTATTTCTTCTTACCCAATGCGACTGAGTGAAGCGGGTGTCTCCAACTTGAGCTTCCTTTGGATCCTAATAGCGCGAATCTTCAAGACATCTCAAAACATCCAAAAGGTACAACATCCTTTCTCCTCAGTCAACTGCAACCAGTTCCAGATCTTGATACGCGTCCCATCCCGGCCTCCAACTATGCCAACTCCCTGCAACCCAACAATCTTTTCCCTCATCTCCTCCTTTCCTGTAACCAGAATTTGGAGGTCGTTTACAAGATACTGAATCTTTTGTATTTATAATCAGGCTAGATGGCCGAGCGGTCTAAGGCGCCACGTTAAGGTAAACCCTTAATTCGAGAAATCCGTGGTCCGAAAGGGCGTGAGTTCAAATCTCACTCTAGTCAGTAACATATCCACCTTCGCTCAGGTGGGCACTCCTTTTTTTCGATACTTTCTTCCCCTAACCTTTTGAACTATGAATCCGTTGTTGAGGATCTCTGCTTTGCCCTTCTAACTCCTTTTTGAGTGTGAGGTTCTGAAGAGTTGTCATGCCTATATCTGTAGCTTCAAGATCCTGATAATGGGATATCGATACCATTATCATGACGCAAAGATATTGGACAAAGTAGGTTGAACGCACAACAACCTGTATTGCAAGGTTCGGCTAATTCTCCCAACCCACCAAACCACTGCGATGAAGCGGATAGCACAAAACTGTCAATGGAGAAACCAGTTGATATATGATGAGGGTATCAGTGCTCGATAAAGAGTACAACATAAGCGACAACAGCCAAACCAACCAACCCGTCCCGTCATCGGGAATGTTCTTTTAGCAGCCAAACAACCAAACCAACATGGTTAAATAAGAATGATGAAAAGCATCCTTCCCTAATGGTCCACCCAACGCCAAAACACCGCTTCCCACTAAATTTGACCTTACTTCTCCTGTTCCTTAACCCAACTCTCGAAACTCCCAGGCCACCAACAAACCGAATCCGAAACCAACTCAACCTAGCCGTGGAGTCTTCCTCCTGTTTCCGGCAATGCCTACACTGGCATCTGTTGTCACCGGAATGTTTTCCAAGCCCTCCGTGATGATTCCGCCAGCATGACCCGTTATCTTTTTCTTGGCTATTCCGCGAGGTGACTGTCTCCGATTACTTCTTCTAAAGAGTGGTACTTGCGTCGCACTCTCTTCAGTGTGTTCCGTATTGTTGGCATGGAAACCGATCACTGGTGCAGATGGCGGCGCCATTGACATTGTGCTGGAAGACAACTCGCCAAAAACCAATGTCCCACCACCAAGGTTCGGATTCACTTCTCGTAGACTCGGGTCTATCGGATGTGACTTGATTCGGGTGCTCGTGGCGGGTCCGGGCGTGCCGAAGGGATTATTCCTGGGTGAAACAGGCATGGACAATGGCACTTTGGAGGGTGAACGTGAAGGCGAAACGACGATATCACTATATACTGCAGCCATCGTTGCACGTTTAGCTGGGCTTGTCGTCGGCGTCGTCGAAGGCTTGTCCTGCATGCCTGCAATGAGCGTCTCATGGCCCGCGGTGCGCGGAAGGTCCGTCGGATATTCGTAGCGCTTCTTCTCGGGGGTGTCACCCGTGGGCTCGTACTCGCGGATCTTGGTGCTCTGGATGTCTTCGCGAAGGGCGGCAAGGGGCTGACGGAGGGATTCGTCAAGCGGCTCAAGAGACTCTCGCAGGATCTTCGCATCGTTATCCATGTCGCCACTAAGGTCGCGGATACGGTCGAAGCGCTCGCCAAAATGGTCTGCAATGTTAATGAATGACTTTTCGACTGTTGAAGTGAGGTTCTCCATCGAGACGACATGTTGTTCATGATGCGCGGAGTTTTCGGAGCGGGCGCGAGAGACGAATTGGTCAAGATCCTGCATCTGTATATCGAGATCTTTGAGTTGAGCATCGACTACACGAACCGTCTCGGCATGGACAGATTTTGTGGTATTCTGTATAGAGGTGCTGTGCTCGTCGGCAGTCTGCAGCTTTCATTAGTAAATGAGTCTCCCAAATGAGAAACAGCACAGGTAGCTTACCGCCCAGTCGTCCTTCATCTTGTTCTTGAGCGCATCACGAGACTTGACAACATCCTCCATAAGTCTGCTGTCCTTCTCGTTCCAAGCGTTCATGCCATCCAGATATTCGGACATACTGCCTTCAAACGTCGCGTTCGAATCCATAACCGCTTGTCGAATAAGTGCTGTCTTCCCGGCCAAGCGAGACTCTTGCATCTCCGCTTGCGAATTGATGAGGGAGCCGATCTGTAGCAGAAGGTTTTGCCTTTCCTCGGCCGCTTGTCTTCGCTCCTCCTCCAAAACCTCCTGAATTCGGGCTGACACAGTTGCGTTGGATTCCACAATGGTCTGACTAGCACCCTCGAGCTCTTGCCGGAGTCTTTCAGCTTCGGCTTTTTGGGCGCTAATTGTTTGAAGCAGATCCCCAAAGATGGATTTACATTCCTTCCCAAGCGAACTATACGAAGCATGTAACTGACTGTGGAAAGTAGTTAGTTCGCCCAGGACATCACCTGCAATCCGCTCAGCCGCCGAGGCAATAGCCTGGAGCGATTCTCCAACGCGCTGTTTCACGGTGTCCCGAACAACCTTGATCTCTTCCAGCACGTTGTCCATCTCCTCCTTAGACTTTTGCTTCTGCTCCAACAGCTGTGTCCTAGACTCTGCGAAATGCTCCAAGTTTTGATCGAGGAAGGCTTGGGTTGTGGACAGCTTGTCGAGCTCCTCCTGGACAAAACTTTGCATTCGCTCTGATACGCTGGAGATATGCTTCTCCTGCCCCTTGCGAAACTCTGCAATCCGACTTTCAACAAGCTCAGTAATACCTGTGACTTGCGATTGCGACATGGCCCACGTGCTACGATTGAGCGCATGTAGGTCGGACCTTCTTCTGTTCTTCGCGTGGAGCCCTTCGACATCTTGGACGGTCCGCTTGACGGTAGAGATAAGCTCATCACCCACTTTGGCAAGCTTCTGTTCGGTTGTTTGATGCGCCCTTCGGAGGTGCACCTCCTCCGCCAACGACTTCCTGGTAGCTGCCAGCACCAGCTCGGTTTGGTCCAACACATCTTTGGTCTCGTCTAGCTGTGCTTTTGTGGCTTCGTGCTCTTTTCGAAGCCCCATAAATGTTGATGTCATCGTATACAGCTCTTGGAGCTTGTTTCGAAGATTCGTTTCGAGTGTCTCGATTCTGGCCGCTTGTTCTTCCGTAAGGATCCGCCGCGATTCATTTTGTACAGTCAGCTCTTCGTAAGCATCGTTCGATAGATAGACACCGTTTCGTTGACGAGTGGCAATCAGCTCGCTTTTCAATTTCTCGATCTCGGTCGCAAACTCGCGAAGTAATGTTTTTTTGTTGAGTAGCGCGTTGATCTGCGGTTTGTTTCGAATGTTTTTAGCCCTAAAAGCATAATCAAGTGTGGATATCGTCTCCTCCATGTTACTCCTGGCCGGGGATATTGTCGCAATGATGCACGTCTTTGTCCGCCCACCTAAAGAGTCTTGGAGTAGACGTGTAAGTTTCGATTCTCTGTAAGGAATATGGGGGCTGCGGTCGACCAAGGCGTTGATGACGCGACCAAGGGTAAGCAGACTCTTGTTGATGAGACCAGCCTCAGCAGCACGTTTGTTCTCGGCTCCAGAGCGCTGAATGTTCTCGCTGCCAGCGAGATCAACCAAATTCAGCTTTCCTCCCATCAGATAATCCTCCCCATTCTCGGTTTGTTGCTTGACATGAACGGTAATGGTGAAGACGGTGTGACTACGACTGCTGAGGTCGTTGCACTTTGTCGCGGCCACCTGACGCCTCACACTGCCCTCTTGAAGCCATCTGAGGCCGTCTGCCGCGCTTAAAATGTGTCTTTCCTCCATACCTTGCACAATAGTCGTGGCATGGCCCTTTTTCGAGTTGTCGTCAAATATTTTGAGCTTTGTGTTGTCCTCTGCCGAAAGCAGATCACGCAGCTCTTCATTATAAAGTTCGATAAACGAGCATCGCACGCAGTGTTCCTTGTCATCCACTTCAAGCTTATTAAAGAGAGCATGCAGGACTCTGGGGATGATGCCTGCGGTGTCGGGAAGCATGCCAAAAGTCTGATTCATGTCGCCTGACATGGTATATGTCTTGCCCGTGCCTGTTTGGCCGTAAGCAAATATGGTGCAGTTGTAACCGGCAAGCATCTAGTTCAAGTCAGCCATGAACAGGCCCTGATCGGTTTGATAGTCCTTACCTCTTCCAGAATAGGCTTCACCACCTCGTCAAAGACCATGGCTTGATCGGCGGCCTGCGAGAAGACGCGATCAAAGGTATACGTCTTGTTGCTCACTGCATTGGGACCCATTGATAGCTCAACTATCCTGCCTTTGAGGCCCTCCGTCTTGACAACAACGGCGCTATTTTCCTTGACTTCCCGGTCATTGCGTCCTCGACAGCGCACAACAACATTGATGTTTGTGGTGCCCTCGTCCTCCGGGTCGAAATCGCGCTCCTTACGCTTCGCACCTGCTGTTGCCGATACCTGTGAGTCTGCGGGGGAGGCGGCGCCCGATCGCTCGGCGCGAGATCCTCCCGGTGCGGAGGCATTTCGGAGGGCTGATGGTCGGCCTGTTGAAGATGCCGTGTTTCTGGTAGGAGGAGGTCGCATGCTGCTGTTGCTACGCGTCCCAGCGGCGGATGGTGGACGCGACATGGCTGATGGTTTTTTACGCTCCATGCTGGAGCTGCGCAATTGGACGATGCTTTATCGAAGGGTCGAGGTCGCGAAATCGGGGAGAAAGTTGGGCCAAAGGAGGGACGAGAAACGAAAAGATGCGAAGTGACGACTGTTGGGCTAAGGTACACAATGGGCCAGAATCAATCCAAAAAGCATTGGTGATGGTGATCGAAGAGCTGATGGCAGAGAGGGAGAGGGAGCGAAATCGTGGGTCGTTCAATCGGCCGGTCGATGTCTTTTTCTTATGTGCGACGAGCTGGAAACATGCGAAAGACGGCAGCGTCGTCGTGAAGAGATTGGCGTGTCAGAATCTACACGCCGTCGGGAATGAGCGACTGGACGTCGCGAGCCCAGCCTTTGCTTGTCGATTATGCGAGCGACTCGCCTGGGTAGGTGCCGTGGTCTTGTCGGATGGCGGATATCACTTTTCCCAATGTTAGCGTTCGCTGCTTCTTGTTCAAGCTGGGTACTTACTTGCCTTGTGCTGCTTTGGCGCGACAGGAGGCATCAACATCGGTCTCCACTGTCCACACTGCTGCAAGCGTATTGGGCGATTGCTGCGGCAACCGCTTCCCGGTGGAAGTAAACTAAACGCACAGACCACTGATCTTCAACAGCTGAGCTTGGGCTTGCGCTGTTCCCTCTCTTGCCGTCCGCAATCATCGCTGTGAGCGTGACGCTGACCAGTCAGCAACAGCGGACAGCGGCCAGCAGTCAGCACAACCTCCCCTCAATGCCCTGGCCCCTCTTTGTGTCCCTCCCCATCCCATCACGCCGCTCTCGTCTCCAGAGTCCAGCACTGATGTTTTAACGTACACTACATACCTAGGTAGTGCTGACCCCATCCGCCCCAGGTCTTGCCTGCCGCTTTCACCGCCGCCTGCCGTTCGCCTTCATGTGATTCGAGGTAGGTACGTTGGTACTTCTACCTACGTAATCTGGAGCAGCTGCCGATGGTCGGGGCCGCCCTCCCCCAGATCACGAGGGGACCTTGACGGACAACACCCAGCAAGCGCCGCTTCGCCAGCCGATGATACAACCACCCATCTGACGACCAACGAACAACTTTCATCCTCTCATCTTTGCTTTCTTCGCTCTCTGAAACAAAGTCAGTATAGCCACACACCAAGTTACAATACGAACAGATGATATCGCTCTCCGCCGTTCTTAACCGTCCGTCCTGCCACTAAGCCAACTGGATGAACGAGACTCGACGTACGAGTTCGTCCCATCTCCGTCGTTCCCATATACCACCTTAAGCGGTGTACAACCTCAAACATCTTCATCAGCACATACAAGTTTCAACATGTCGACACCTACCTCGCCGCCGATTTCTCCCCTTCTCTTCTCCGCCCAGCTTTATCCTGGCCGAGCGCTCGGCTGGTTGGTCCTTGGAGCGTCGTTGCACGATATCTTGACTCGCCTCAAGACAGAGCCCCAGCGGTTCCCGAATCTCGATGTCAAGTACAGCCCAATCGAGCCGACAAAATCGATTGTCATTATCGATCTCCCTGCAAACGGCATTCGTCTACAATTCGACGCCCCAGAGCAGCGACTACGCTTAATCGAGGTGGTGGACTTTACCAAGAATCATATCTTTCTCAAGGCAGCCGACAACAAGGAGCGTGACCTTGTCCGCCCTGCCACAGCATCCACCCCGTCAACCGATAACCCCGCGGGCCCTACGTTCCGTCACATCTACCAGCGGTTTCTTGGTCCCACCTATGATGGCGAGTTCATTGATGGACCGAAGACGCCAGACAACGCCGTCGATCAATATGGGCTCTACGTTCTGTCATGGCCCGGTGTGGCCTTTAGTTTCCTCATGAAGAAAGCGAGCTACTCGGCCAAGAAGAACGTGGTTGATCTGTTGCCATCCACGCAAGTCCCCGAGACCATGGGCATTTTCAGTGGGGATTCGTGGACACAAGCCCGACAGACGCTGTGGACTGATGTGCTGCCCAGTCTCAAGACGTTCACGCCACTCACTAAGGGAAAGGAGGTGTTTCCTGACGAGGTGTCTCTGATCAAGATTTACGGGGCAGGGAAACTGCAGGTCTTTCGAAAGTGGACGGATCAGCACTTTTGGATCAGGCTTGGACAGACAACTCCGCAAGACCTTGTATCCCACTTGGGTCCTCCCGATGCCATATACCGGAAAAACGACCATAAGATGTTCGCCCACAAAGTGCGGACTGGTAGCGATGCCCTGAAGCGACCAGACAGTGCTGATTTGAAGCATCAGGACGACCTTACAGATACAGATCAATCATCGGCAAACGCTGGGTCGGATGGTTATCACTCTAGCGATGATGAAACCAGTGATGTCAGCGTGGAAGGCCACGTGTCAGGCGAGTGCTTCTACAACTATTTCTACCATGGATTCGATGTGTTGGTCTCGAAGCCGACGGCGCCATCACCGGTACCGCCTTCCCAGGAGCAGGGAAAGAATGTACCCAACGTTCCCAGGGACTGGCTTCTCACAGCCAATGCCGACAGCCTTGTTGCCACAAAGATTGTTTTGCACGGAAATGTGCCTGGGTCGTATCCCTTTAACCGGCACCGTCGCTGCCGATGGGAAATCCCGTATCTTTCATCTGCCTCGGACGTTGTGATCAACTCAGAGTCGGATTTCCCGCAAATCGAGGAGAGCCTGCGCAAAGAGTGGCAGTCCATCTACCCTTCTGAAGATGAGGCGCGCAAGGCGCAAAGGGGCATGGTTCTTAATAGGGGCTGGGGAGACAGTCCCGGTAGCAGCATCGAGTTTCTCGGCGGCTGGGAAGGAGACGGCGCTGCGGCAGCACCAGACGCCGGTGGCACGGCCAAGAAGTTTGATGGGCCCGCAGATTCCACAACTACTTTGTATGGATTTCCGGGACTCGTTTTTGAGGTGTTGAAGAACGGTGCTGTCACTGCGGTAACAGTGTTCTAACCCTTTTTGCATTGTTACGAAAGTGTTTTGTATTTTCATTGGGCGTTTGGAGCAAATATCGACTTACACAGCTGGTCCTGCGGGACAGATTGTTGATGATGTCAACGAAAACACAACACTGATCTTTCATATTGGTGGTGCTGGGTACATGATGGTAAATGGGTACATGGGTCTTGGAGGGATGGACCATTTCGCCAGTATTGTTTAATTTGCGTTTACAACTTCACACATAAGCGGATTGCTTTTCAACATGGTTTAATCTCAGCTAAACCTATAGTACTGTCCAACACAGGGTCAAGATACAAATTAAGTACTAAACACGCGTTGAACTCGGCAGTCTGGTCCAGCACATACATACACTACACACATGCCTACATATTGATCTCTTGCACGCCCCGTCCTATGAATCAAAGTGATAAACACGCTGGGCATATCATCCATTTGCCTTGTTCTGCTTGAAACACGCCATCCCTGCCGGGAACAATGGCTTCCATAGTATTGTAGTTCACTGCTAAAGGATGGTTGGATGGTTGGGAATACCCCTTGTTGATCACATCGCAACGAGAGCTGTGGGGTTTCTTTCTTTCTCGCAGACCAGCCCTGCCTCGCCACTAAGGGTGTGTTCCATTCGTCTTTTTTTAGCGTTTTCACCGGGTGAAAAGACCCGGTGAAAATCGTGTTCCCCGAGTGGCATGGACAATTTTGTACCTTTTCACCGGGTTACACCGTCCGTATACGTCTTTACAACCCGGTGAAAAGAAAATCCCCGCTTTTTAACATTCTAGCCAACCAAAATGCAAAACCACTTTTTCACCGGGTGAATAGAAAAATTAGTATTTTGCAAGTCGCAACCAAGTAAATTTTTGCAGATTTTAATGCCCAAACTCGCTACCCCCAATATATAATGCAATTTCAACACTGCAAATACTACACATTACCCCCCTCAACACCCCCCAAATACAGCGCACATCTACTGGAACCGCCGATTTATCGCCATACGCTCACAGATTTTATAAAAGTATATGAAACACAATTTTCACCCATATTTTCACCAGAATACCAAGCTGCCTGAATGCCAAGGCTGTAACCCGGTGAAAATTGGTCTGTGCGACCTTTTCACCCAAAGTAGCCAAAATCCCGGTGAAAAGACCCAAAAAAGACGAATGGAACACGCCCTAACATTGGGTATACGAAGAGGACCGAGTTGACCACATGGAAATATACCACTGTACAGGTACTTACTGCATGATCAGCCACAAGATGATGGCCAATTATCAGGCAGTGTCATGCACGTTACAATGTCACCATGTGAAGATGCAAGAATGCAGATTAAGGTGCTAGGTAGGTAGGTGCTGACATGATGCGTCAAAGTCAAGGCCCTGTGAGGACGGGAGCTGCGCTTCCAGTCGGCAGTGCCCCCCAAGCCCAACGGAACGTGATCCATAGCGGGTAACAGTGGGGTCCTTTGCCCCTGCCCCACTTCCTCGTTTCCTGGCTTTTCTGCAGGCAGGCTCTGGCTCGGCTGGATGCCAGGGGGGCCCCCCTATGATGGATGGAACTGCCGCCGAAAGGTCGATGACACTGCACAGCAAGGACGATGCGCCGTTTCAACGGGCCACAGCAGGAAACAGTGGGCTTTGCAGGGCGATGCTCGCCGTGGAACCACCTCAGTGGCACTCATGACGGGTTTGGGAGCACGAGTGGAACTCCACTGAACAGGGCATTTTGGGGAGAACGATCCTACATGGAGGTAATGGCGGCGGAGGACTGCAAGTGTCCGGGAGAGACAGCCCCGTAGACCTTGTAGTATGGATGCCCTGGACCTGACGTTCCCGTCGATTTCAACCTCGTCAGGTGTTCCCATCATCTGTCCCTCCCAACGCATCGAAGCAGGCACTCCTTTCAGCGGCCTGTTACTGTCACACTCCACTGGGTCATTGTTCTCTGCCTTACACGCGCCGCTAGAAGTAGTATAATGCACCCGACGACGAATAGAAAGTAGCCCACGACCCAGCATAGCTGCATCGGTACCTACCTTGCCCGTCTGACGTCGTCGTTGGCCCGTTGTCTTCACATGGGCAGACTGAAGCCGCAGCCAGCCAGACCTCCCCAAGACCAAGACCGTTACAGATACCTCACTGCGACTATCACGAGAACCGATCCGACAAGACGGATAGACTTTGGCGACGACCCTCAACCGGACACAAGAGGAGCCGAACGACGCCTCGGACGCCAAGACGACGGATTGCATCCTTTTCATTTCATACTTACGCGACGACGGCAAGACTGACGACGATGCATGTCATTATTCATTCCATGCGACTCTAGTTCCTCCGTTCCCGCTTCCTTTGAAGACGTGGCATGTGGACGGCGCAGCACAGCAATGACCGACCCAGATGCCAGCCCATCATCCAACCTTCGTCCGCGCCGAGCAACCAAACAACCCGACCTCGATTCTGACCGCCATGATCATGCCTCGACAGCCATCTCTCGCCAGGACCACCAGGTCACGACGAACCTCCCTGACGTCTCTGTGACTTCCTCGGATCTCAACGACGTCAAGGATGACTACGACGACGCCAGTATACCGCCTGATCAGCGACAACTCCGTTCCCATCACCCTCGCGCCGATGACCGAAATTCCTCTAAAGGCGCCCTCCGTGCTCATAAGCACAGAACGAATGGCGCCTTTCTCCTTTCGGATCCCGCCCTCGGCGCGCATACTCAACATACCCAGCTGCAGTTACCTAAGAGGCAGAGCTTGTTAGAGCATGGCAGGAAAAGGATCACTAAGAATGGCCTGGACAGGTCGCCTGGCCGGAACAAACTTACGGGCCCCTCAAACGAAGTAGGCTTGGGGCTTGTTCAGCGCTCAGGGTCGACAGCTGAGCCATCTGTTCGACAACCAACCTCCATCAACGATAGTACGGTCACGTCGAACCGCGGCTCTCCGGCCGGTGAGACGGTCATTGGAACAAATCCATCCCCACGAACCAGCATGGCGCTCCTGGATATGGAGTCGGCCCATATCGTGAACATGGCTCTTAACCTGAGCGAGTCGAGAAGGATAGCGTCGCGAAGGATCATCTCTCAGCCAGTGCCTCCAAGACTAGGACCAGTGCCGGAAAACAGTACCGGAGGAAGTCTTCGACAACACCTGCAGCAGCAGAGAAAAGTTTCGCGGAATATGTCACCTAGACCGGACCACTCCCCGCGCATCGCATCTGCACGGTCACTGCAAGCTTCAGCCGGTCTCGAAGCATACCAGTACCACTTTTCCCAGTCGACCTTGGCGAGAGCGCAGAAGGCAAGGGAATACTTGGGGCTGATGGCACAATACAGACGGTTATTAGAACTGCTACCCCCATTGAAGGCCGCCCGATCAGCAACGTATTCCACCGTTAGTCCTCCCCTGACGCCTAGTGGCCCTAACTTCCCCACAAGACCAACTACTCATGACGCCGAAACAACAATTGGTCGTCCTTACAATCCGCTGCAGTATATCCGCAACAGGAAGATTCGGGCTCGTGAGAAAAAGACTTTGGATGGAGAGGGTCAGGGCTTCAACGATGTTGAAAGGGTTTCTGAATGGGTTGACGAAGTAGCCAAATGGATCGCCAAGGGCCAGGACCGAATACCGGGAAACCCTTCGATACCTCCGTTCTCTCCGACTCGTATTCTCTCTCAGGAAATCCCGCCCCAGTCCCTTGGCTCTAAGCCGACAACAGCAACACCCAAACTGAAACGACCACGGGTTGATTGGGCCGTAGATCCGGCAGATATGATCGCAGACATCTATTGGCTTGAACAGGACGACAACAAGTTCCTTGTAGAGGATAGGAATTGGAAACGCCTCTTTCCTCAAGGTGGTGCCGAAATTTACCGTTCGCTCTCAAGAGATGATACTCCAGGCTCAAGCAAGATCTTTTCCAACTCCAACAGCATTACGACTCTAGACAAGGCTCGCACGGAACAGTCACCCCAAGTTGTGGAACCAAAGACAACACAAAAGGCGCATCACGAGCAACCGCACGGCTTTAGTGCCAGTCGGGCTCGCGACAAAGCACAACAGAAACTTCGGGCGATCAGGGAATCCCACCATCGAGCCAACAGCTCCATATACAATCGCGATATTCTTCGCATCCATAGACGCTCCTTTTCAGAGTCGTCTGATACAGACAGCGATCGGAAGCGACGGGGCAGACACGGGACCATCTCCAGTAGTGGTAAGGACATACTGGCAAGGCAGATGGAAGACATGATCGCTCAGGAGCAAAGAGATATCGAAGCACATCCTCTTCATGACCAGGATACGCAACAGCTGAAGCTCCCAGATGCTGGATTAGCGCTGCCCGAAAAGGGTCAGGAGTGGCCGCGGATTACATCGACGTCTGACGGGGCTGACAATGTTGAAGGCCGCAGGCCGGCATCTCGCTCTGAGCCGGCTGATTGGGAAGGCTCTAATACCAAGTACCAAGCCAAGCCAACCCCGGCACAGGTTCTCGCTGGACGGGCTGGTGTTGGGTCACTGAGTGGCGATGGGCGGATTTCAACGGATTACGATACATCACCGCCATATTCGCCTGACTTGCGGCCAGTGCATGACGTACTAGTTCCTAGACTAAGCACGGACATGTCGGCAAGGTCATCGAGACCAAGCTCACCGATAGCGAGTTCACCGAGCAAAAACCCCCTGACCAAAGTTAGGAGCATATTCCGAGATCGCAGTAACGAGCGTTTGGCTGAGCTCCCATCACACATCGGAAGAGACGAGAACCCCGAATCAACGCAGTTTCTGTACGATCGGCAACCAGTAGAGTCTCCAACCACACTAGGATTTGCAACTGGCATGCTTTCACCTCCCAAGCGGAAGACCTCCCGTAGTCCTCTTCGCAAAATAGTGACAAAAGGAACCGACTCTAGCCAAAAGTCGAATAAGAGCACAGGGATTTACAAACTTCGGGAGGATGGTAACAGTAGCCTGAAAGGGCTATTCCGGGGTCAACGCATTGATAGTGTTTTGCGTAGTGGTGTCTCCAAAGTCAGCGATATGTTCTGGCGAAAAGAGGCTGCCCCAGGTCCCTTGGACAAGTATGATTCTTCGGATGAGTCTGATGCGGAGAGTCGAGGAAGGTCCAGATCCTTACCCAGGTCGCCACCACGAAAAGTCAGTCGTAGTCCGTCTAACCACGGGAAGGCGAACGGGGAGAAGAACTACCTGGATGTTATGCCACAGTTTATACCCACCGCGGAAAAGCGTCATAGCAAGTCCAAGTCCGTTGGCGGCTCGATCGACCAGAACGGTTTGCTTAGCGCTAGTCCCCCTTCGCAACCGCTCAGCCGTCGGTCCTCCCGCTTTGAACTCTTGAAACCGCCCAAAATCGACGTTCAGAATGCATCGCCGACGTCATCTCCAGGTCCGCTGGAGATCACTTCCTTACGTCCATGGGGGCCTTCCGACGTACCTGACGTGGAAGGCTCGCGGAAGAGCAGCGTCAATACAGACGCTGGTGGTGTACAAGACGCCGACGCTCGTCTGAACGCCATGTTATCCATGGCTAAAGGACGTCAACTCGTCAACAGTGCCTCGGCAGGATGCTGGTCCATAGCCGCCGACCGAGCGAACGCCACTCCCGTCCCTCCCCAGACCATCGTGTCCAAGCGGGAGATTGCCCGATTACGTGCGCTTCTCCTAAGCTCCGGCATCCACGCAATGGAAATCGACAGACGCGCTAAAGCCGACAAGCTCTTGAACACCTCCAACAAGACCGACGAGAACGCCAACACCACAACAGCTAATAGCCACATCAACAACAACTCCCGTCTCTCCTGGCCAGACATAGTCGCCCTCTCCCCCGACCCTTCCGCTCGTCAACAGCTCCTTGTCCGCCCCATTGCCCAGATCGATCTCTTCCCCTTGGCCGCCAACATCCTCTCCACCTCCATCCAAAACTCTGCAACGGCATTCCAGTCCTCCGTCGCCGTCTTCCAAACACAAACCGCCCCGCGCATGACCAACCGCGTCGAAGCGCTGCGGAGCCGAATCAGCGGCGAGCTGACGGAGATGACGAGGCGAGCGGCCGAGGAGGCGGATGACGCCGGCGGCGATCTGATGACGCACCAGCGGCTGAAGGTGAAGAGGGTGGTGGATATGATTGACCGAATGGTGAGGAGACGGCGGAGGCGCTTTAGGTGGGTGAGGAGAGCTGGGTGGTTGGCGGTTGAGTGGGTGCTGGTGGGCTTTATGTGGTATGTGTGGTTTGTGGTGATGATTGCGAGGGTGTTGTTGGGGGTCGGGAGGGGAGTGGTTGGGGTGGGGAGGTGGTTGTTGTGGTTGTAGTGTGTTGTTGGCTGTTTGTTGGAGGTGAGATTGGGAGGTTGAGGAACATGGTTAGGTTTTTTTTTTTTTTTTTTTTTTTTTTTTTTTTTTTTTTTTTTTTTTTTTTTTTTTTTTTGGATAATAGAGGTGTCTCTGGAAGAGACAAAAGAAGTCAGTGCCGCGTGGTTTGCGGTTTCATTTGTGGATATCGGGGGAGCTCGCATAGGTCGGTTCTCTCTCAGAAAAGTATGGATGCTGGAAGTGGGAGGTCATGAATGGATGCACGGAGCCTTTTTTGTTTGTTTGTTTTGTTTCCTTTGTTTATTATCTTTTTATTGGATTTTGCTTTTTTTGCTCTCTTTTGTGTTGTGAACTTTCCGGTCTGTTGCAGCCAGGAATCCAACAATACCCGGGTTTTGGCTGTCGAAGAGGCTGGATTTTGCATACATATCAATAGATATTGGGGATGGAAGGAGTTGGGTATAGCTACAGCAGGTAATTTATTGGTTAGTTTCGGTGCTTGAAACACCGATCGAGTATATGGGGCGACCGTGGAAGAAGGGACTGAACATGGTCTTCACTCTTGATGCCATCCGAGCGGCTTCGTAATCGTATCTGATCCTTGCTCTCATTGATTTCCAGATCATGCTGAATGCCCAGTCAGAACCGTCAGTGTTCATCGATAATCATCACAGGTCAACCGTAACATGACGATGAATCGAGTATATCGTCAATGTTCAACCATCAGTTACCGCATATGTGCGGTGTTCCCTATCCACAGTATCCTCTATCTCCAAAGTCACAATGCCATGGCGTTGAGGTGTATAATACACGGGCCGCAGTCCTTCGACCCTCTTTCATAGACACTGCGCCCCTCCCTCCCCCCGCTTCTCCCAGCACCTTATTCATGTCCTCTCCTGCTCCATGTCTTTCTTATCCTCTGCCGAGAACCAAGAGCCGGCGGGCGGGTTGGGAAGCCGGATCAATGCGAGCGGGTGGGTATAACTTTTTATTCTTTTGTTTTGTTGTCGTCGTGTCCTTCCCCGTTCCAGTAATCCTACAAGGCTGTTTTACATGCCGAAGCCACCTCCACCACGGGCCTGGGTCTCCTTCTGCAGCTGGTCCGAGATCTTCTGGTGCGTCTCAAAGAACTTGGCGGCGCAGCGGTCGAGGCAGACGGACTCGCCCTTGCTGAGGTCGCCCTCGCGGTACGTCTTGTCGATGCACTTGAGGGTGCAGATCTTGACCATGCTGTTTGTTTGGAGTGTCATGTTAGTTAGTTGCCTCGGTGGGTATGGTCATGGGTGTGGTTATGGTGATGGGGTATGATGGGTATTGGTAGGGGACGGTTGGATTGATAGAGTTGGAAGGAAGGAATGGGCTTATGGGAAAAGAAGAGAGTTTAATGTAGGGGTACAATGAAAGTGAGGAAGATGGGAAAAGCAAAGGCAGGGGAGGGGGTATAGAATGCAGGAAAGAAAACATACCGAGAGTGCATCTCAGCGACAACCTTGAGCTCGTTCTCAACGGCGGCAATCTTCTCGGCCGAAGTGGGCTGCGGCCTGCCGAGTCCGAACATTTTGGATGGATTTGGTGAGATGGGACTCGAAAGAAAAAGGTTCACGTGCCGCTGTGGATAGACAAAGCTCGTGGTGTTTAGAGGAGCTTTTGGTTGTTGGTATTGTTAGTTGTAGATCTGGGACCGGGTTTTGGGGAGGCGACCTACATACTTTTGGGATCGTGGAAGGTGATGCGTCGCGGGTTGGTTGATGTCAGCGGCTCCGTTGCAGCGAAGCGACGACACCCTCTTTCGCGGGCGGGCGCAACAAGCTTCCAGGCAGCTTCTCTCTTGGCTTACAGAACTTTTGGATCCGCTTTCTGCCCATTGACCCACTCACCTAGAAGGCGGTACGGGCGCGGCTAATGCTCGGCTGCGGCCCTCCGCGCTCTCACGGTGAGCGGGAGGCCCAAGTTCGGTAAAGAAGGGACACAAGGTGAAGAACCGATAACGCTCGGTGAGGCCAATTGGGGGCTCTGATTGGCCACGACCCCTCTTACACAGAGCCGCTCCAGTTTCGGCTGAGTTCGCAGACAACGGCCCGAGCGGCAGAAAAAAAAAAGAGTACGACATAAAAGGCGGCATGGACCGTGGCGAGACAAATCTTTCGCCTATACATCAAGCTCCAGGTGGGCAAAACACACTAGGGCAACCATCATGATTGTAAGTCTACCAACACACAGTTCTTCCGATATACAATCACATGCCCATATGTACTACTCTTCATGATGATCTGCCAAAACATTAGAACCGTTGCGACTGACACGCGCTTGCGCGTGCATGATCACACTATGCTCCATTTCTGAACTTTTACCCATCCCCCCCCCCCCCCCCCCCCCCCCACCACTTTTGTCAACAGCTCTTCTTGGTCCAGGACAACCCGCCATGCTAACTGATCCATGACAATCTTAATAGAAGCAATAATGAATTCATCTACTCCCTGTCTTCAGTTCTTGCGGCCGTACGCCTGGAAGTGGAAGCCAGTGGGCGCCCGTAACACGGCGTACCTGCGCTTCTACCACCTGGCTCGGCAGCATGAGTTGATACAGTCCAATGCCCTCAAGTATCCCCGCATTCGCCATGAAGGCGGTGCGCCCATGCGGATCCCCATCTTCCGGGAGAAGTTTAAGGATGTTGAGATGGGCAAGCATGCCGACGAAGAGGTCATCATTCATGGCCGGGTACAGTCTGTCCGTCGGGCCGGCAACAAGCTCATGTTCCTCGACCTCAAAGGCGAGTTCGAGCATGTTCAGGGACTCTGTAACTTCAATAAGCTGCAAGTTACAGGAGTCGAGCTAGGAGAATTTAAGGCGCTTGCCAAATTGTTGAATAGAGGCGATATTGTCTGTACGTGACTCTGGTCCCATATGTCTTCTTTCCCTTGTTCTTTGCCCATCAATCATATGACAGTGGCATGACTGACCGTGAACCTCTTCTTCCAACACAGCCATCACCGGCCGAGCAACCAAAACGCCGACTGGTGAACTGAGTATCGAAGCCACAAGGCTGCCCGAGCTCCTAACCCCAGCATTGGCTCCCCTGCCCTTCAAGCTAGAAGATGAGGAAGTCCGGATCCAGCACCGTCACATTGACATGCTGGTTAACCGCAAGACCATCGATACCCTCCGGCTGCGATCGCACCTGATCAAGTACCTTCGCGACTTCTTTCACGAGCGTGGCTTCCTCGAGTTCCAGACGCCCATCCTCGCCGAAAACGCCAGCGGTGCCACCGCCCGGCCTTTCACCGTCACCGCCTCCGAGACCTCGGTGAATAAGAGCCTTGCGATGCGCATCGCCCCCGAGCTCTGGCTCAAGCGTCTGGTCGTCGGCGGCGTCGACAAAGTTTTCGAGCTCGGCCCTGCCTTCCGCAACGAGGGCATCGACCAGACGCACAACCCCGAATTCACCATGTGCGAGTTTTACAACGCCTACGCCAACCTGGACGACCTCATCACACTCACCGAGGAACTCATTTGCGGCGCCGCCTCGCATTGCCGCGACCTGATCGCCACCAAGCTCGACTCTTTGCCTGCCATCGACATGTCGCAGTATCAGCGGCCTTTTCAACAACTCGAATTCATACCCGCCCTCGAATCCGCCCTTGGCTTCAAGCTCCCCGATCTCTCCGCTTCCTCATCGCGCGAGGACCTCCTCGCTCTTCTCAAGCAGCACAAAATCGAGGTCCCGGGACTGAACAAACCCGACATCACGCTCGCCAAGCTCCTCGACAACCTAGCCAGCGAGTTCCTCGAGCCTTACTCCCTAACAAAACCGCTCTTCATCACCCACCACCCAGTCTGTATGTCCCCTCTCTCCAAGAGCTTTGTCTGCCCCAAAACAGGCCAACACGTGTCCGCGCGCACGGAGCTCTTCATCAACGGCAAGGAGCTTGCAAACATGTACGAAGAAGAAAACGACCCGGCTTCGCAAAGGCAAAAGTTCGTGGACCAGCTCAACGCCGCCAAGCGCGAGGCTAGTTTAGCTCCCGGTGTGTACAACGATGAAGGGGAGTCGGCCATGGAGGTGGACGAGAGTTACGTCCAGGCCCTGGAGTCCGGACTGCCGCCAACGGGCGGGTGGGGGTGTGGGATTGAAAGGATGGTGATGCTTTTTAGCGGGACAAAGAGGATTAGTGACTGTTTGAGTTTTGGAAACTTGAGGCATGTTACGAACGTTCCTGGAGCGGTCAGGACGGCTGAGGATGAGGAAAAGGCAAGGGAGATGATGGATGAGATGGAGAAGAAGGGAGCGAGGGAGAGGAAACGGGAGAAGGGAAAGGAGAAGGAGAAGGAGGTTATGGATGTCTCCGACGGTGAGGCTTGATTTCGCAGTTTGCCTTGGTGTTTTGTGTTGTTTGTATGTATCATTGTATGATTAGCGTGTTAGCGAGTGTTGCCTGCCCAGGTAAATATGATACCCCTATCTTTATGCAGCTCCCGCGTCATATCTTTCATGTGAGTGATTGCTGGCGGTGGTCGCTGACGCGATCATAGTGCTGTCCAGTAGGCGTCGGGTTCACAAGGCCATGGATACCTAGTCGCATATTTTCGGTTGAGCCTTGGTGATGATGCTATCATTCAGTTTAATCTTTTCCCTTTGTCGTGCAGTGGCCTAAAACATAACAGTGCCACTCAGGTATCTTCGGAGATCTCTCCTTTTCTTTTTGACACTGAGTCAATTTCGTGGCTACTGAGTGCTCTGCTAACATGGAAACACCAAAACCCCTCCAATGTAAGAAAGGTTGGATGGTAAACCTGGAGCGGAGTTCGAATAAACTATGAAAGTCTGAAAAGCTGATGAGGCACCTGAAAAGAAAAAAAAAAAGAGAAAGCAGTCCCATCCCTATATAACCCATCAGTCATGATTTAGTGTCAAGTCCCTTTCCTACCCCCTAACCTCTCCCCTCACAAATGCTTGACAAAATCTGACGGAAAAAAAAAAAAAAAAAAAAAAAAAAAAAAAAAAAAAAAAAAAAACCTTTTTCACGAACTGCACCAGAGGCCAGATCTGTGATGACATGGCTCTCCTCTTCTTCGCACTAGCCATCCGCAGAACGGGGTAACTGTGGGTTTTTCTCAACGAACTTTCCATATCCCGCGACCTAGATGGGCGATTGAACGGTGCACATGATATACAGTATCTGATTGCGTAATAAAACGCGTCAAGGGCACACCATCCAGCACCTCGAAAGCCCGCCGAGATCAACTTCAGTCCTCAACATCGACTATCGTCTCCGGATCTGAGCGATGCGTCCTGAGCGTGACAATGTGGTTCCTACCAATTCCCCAAAAACGCCGAAGGCTTCCTCTCCAAAGCCGCCTTGCCCCTTTCTCTTGCCTCCCAGTTACGATTATACGGCTCCCAATCAGGCATGGCATGCATATCTGAGACATATATGCCAAAGAAATCTTGACGATTTGCTCTGTCTACGTCTCGATATCTCTTCTTCGTCCGCTCATCCCACATAGGATTCAGTCCAGCCTCGAGGTATGCGTTCTCATACTGAGGGCCACCATCACGATGATTTGTCCGTCCGGTCAATGGCCACAAAAGCTGTCTTGTCCTCTTGGTTGAGGATAGATGCGTTTCCCAGTGTATCGCCTGCGGAAATCGGGGCATGCCTGGTTTGAAATCAAAGAATTCGTAACGCCAAGCTTTGTCTGTCAATTTGGCCATCTTGAGGGCATCTCTCTCCTCGTCCCTGTCATTGGGTAGATAAAAGAGTTCTTGAACAAGCCAACGCTTCCGGTTACCCAACCAGATCTGCATGACGCGATTGGTGCGGTCACGGAAATGGCTGTCTTCATGGTTCGCCACAAAAGCACCCATTCTACATCCCCAGCAGACCAGATTCTTGGTGTTGGAGAAGAAGTAATTTGGGAGAAGCGTATAGCATCCACTGCACTCCCTCTCCTTCGGCTCACGAGATATATTCTCAGCTGTATCGCCACAGACTGCGGCGCCTAAATCGTTCCACAGGTGCCTGGTGATTTCCCGATTCGCGTCGAAAGTACGATAAGAACAGGCCTTATAGCGACCACGTTCCCATGTCAAGACCGCTTCACGAGCTTTGTAAGCCCAGAATGGATCTGGACCAGGTAAACGACGAATGAAGTGCCAAATCCCTGAGCTGTCACTGAGAAGGTCGACGCCGAGTGTCGCGGCAAGATCCCAGCACGCTATAATCCGAGCAAAGACGGCCTTCGGCACGTCAAAGGTTGGCTTGTGGTAGGTCAGCCCGAAAGATCCCAGTGTGTTGGGCGCAGAAGTTGGACCCTCGAAGAAATACGGGTAGAAATCCAAGCGCACCCTCTTGTGGCGGCCGGTAGCTGCAAGCCTATTCTTCTCCTGAATGATGCGAAGGAGGGAGTCAAGTTTGGTAAAATCAAGCTGTTTGCAGCGCGTAATGGCGATGCTTTCAAGATTGGGCATTGACTTGATCATCAACCTCACCAGCTTGGTGTTGAGGTAAGGGATCTGGTCCAGCATCAAGTCTCGGAAACTCGTGAGACTGATACAAATTTTACAAACCATCTTAGTCAACAACTTGAACTCCTGCTCAAACGGCTTGTCTTGAGGGCTAGCAGCTGCAACTTGGGTGATTGGTGTAATGATCAAGGTATTCATGCGGATTCCGCCCTTTTCGTTCTTGTAGCCTTTCTCAATATGGAAGTTACCCGAAGAGAAGTCCCAAACTGCAAACCGACCACTGATCAATCGAGCGGTGTCTTTGCAAGCCATTGCCAACGATGTCAGGTCGGCAACGGCGGGTTCGATGTAGTCCACTACATTATCGAAGATCTCCGGGATGTTCATAATATGTACCAGTCCGTTCTTTCTGTTGTTAGGGTTCCTCCCAAGTTCAGTTTTGATCGGCTTGGATGTGTTGAGGATACCATCATCCGGAGTAGGTGCCAGTAGCAATCTTGGTTCGTAATCCTTGGTAGCTTGCATCAAGCGGAATGCCTTGTCTTGGTTCATCTTGTGGTAAAACATCTTGATTCTTAAACACTCGGCTTCAGAAGTCTCTTTGTGCACACGGGGGAATTGCCGGACGAAATCGCGCTCGTGTACCATGTCGTACACATCCTCGGGCTTCTTATCACCCAAAGAGACCCATTCGCGCGTGTAGTTGAACAAGCGTATGCTGGACGTTTTGACGCTAAATGTCTATGTAAAAGGAAAATCAGCCGCTGCTTCACAAGATTTCGTGAACAAGGATTTACGTACAGTGTTTGTCAAGTCAAGAAGGCTTTCGTAACGGGCAGGCTTGTGATTCCGAAGAAGCTCAATCTTCTGGAAGAAGTCTGATCTCGGTCCGGAAAAGTCGACGACTGTTCCTGGGAGAGGGTAGCGTTTGCCAGCTTGGGTGTTGACAGAGGTATTCTCCTTGTTCCAATCTTTCTCGAGCGGGACAGCGGATGTCCTCGACGTATCGCTGACATTCTCCGGTTGCAAAGAATCCCACCGATCAATATTACCGTCACCATCACCGGAACCAGTTTGGCTTGGCCACTCCGCGTTGCCGTGACTAGTAACCTGTTTATTTTCGATCGAGTCTGTGAAGCCGGTGGCCTGCGTTGACTTATCTCCTCGCCGGCCCTTGGCCTTACGATTGCGGGGTTTCGCCATGGTTCTGAGAGCGAGTGGCCCGAAAGTTCAGGAAAGAAAACAGCGGATGGCTGATGGATCTCTGTTGGTGATTGTCGAATGATGCAAGAGAGCGCTTGTTGGCGGTAGAAAGCAGCGCAGTTTGTGCGTGCACACAGAAGGGACAAAGGTGGACTTGTTCCAACCGGCAGAAGGGCAAGATGTAAGTGAGAGTGGGAAGAGATGGCGAAGGCCTGAAGTTTATGGATAGGGAAGTCGGAGCTGATATGGGGGAAGAGGGTGTGTCCCAAGTTTGCGTTTGGAAGATGGTGCGAATGGCGTGAATGGGAGGTTGTCGAATCAAGGTTTGGTCTCTCGAAGATCTAGTAGTGTGTTGAAGATGAGGTTGATGGAGGGGTCTTCGCCTTTTAATGGCCAGCTTGGTGCAATCCGCGTTAGCCTGGAGTCAGAATAGGCCCTTCATCTGTTGTAGTTGCTCACCGTCTAGTCTCCAAGCACTGTTTGCCTTGTTGAGTTCGGGTGACCAATTCCAAGTGGGAGGTACACCTTTAAACAGGTCTGGCACGAGTCGAGCTTGAGATGACTGGAGAGACGGGTGGCAACAATAGAATCCGTCCGATGCCTTCGGCTCACTGAACGGGCATTCACCAATAACCGCACTGCAGGTTTATTATACCTGACAATAACATGGAAGGCACAATGACCGGCTGCCTGCGAGAACCTGCCCGTATTGAATACCTAGGTAGGTAGGTAAATACCCACAGTAAGGTCAGACGGAAGGACGGGAGCACACCCCGTAGTCTACAATCAAGAACTCGCGAAACTGGTCAAACGCGATCCCCCTCTGCGCACCGGACAATGGCAGAAATCTGCCAAAAGGATCATGATGCCTCCCACAAACGCATACCGCAAAGACTCGGACCATTGATTTTCAACTTTCCTGGAAATCATGCATAGTCTGTAAGCATACTGCAACATTCATGCCCGCCAGAAATTATATGCAAGACAATGATCTTAGATGTCCCTACCGTAGAAACTCGCCAAACAGGCAAACCTCCAACCCTCTTTGAGCGCCCGACAGTAAGCACAGGAAGCGGCATACTCCCGTACATATCTCCGCTCAGTTAGTGAAGGCTCTAAATACTGGCCAACACTATCCTACCTGCGTTCCAAAGCACAGGCTCGGACTTGAGCACCAAAGATCTGCCTGTAATATACCCCAAAAACCTCTTTTTGATGCGTTAGAGGTTTGCCAGTTTGGCGAGTTTCTACGGTATCCTCTAGCGCCCTTGGATAAAAAAAAAAAAAAAAAAGTGGAAAGGGCGGAATACTAGAAGAATCAAACTTACAGTGCTCCGGGATGGCAACATGGCTCCCCTATCATTCTTTGCGGGCATAAAATGTACAGAATTGGGTATATGTATGTCTGATGATGTATGATTTCTAGGAAAGTTGAAAATCAATGGCCCGAGTCTTTGCGGTATTCCAGTAAATGTGTGTCATTTAGTGAAAAACTCGAGGACATTACCCGCCACGTGGACTTATGCACACTTGAGTATACTATCGGACCCGGTCTTGTCATGCCAGCTGCCTGTACAGGTCTGCCATCTACCCGGCGCTCAAGGATGGAGAGCTTGACCAGTTTCGCGAGTTTCTCCGGTATTTCCCGGAGGAATAATTATTCCTTGCGAAATCTAGGCACAAAAATAAGATAAAATAGAATAAAAAAGAATGCCATCAAGGTTGGTCCGGTCTCGTTTGCATGGAGGTATAGTGCAGGATCTGATGGCTTGAAGGAAGACACTCAACGGCACTTTGAGGTGAGAACAGATACCGCAATAAAGGAACCGCATCTATCATCGACTCCCTAGGTATTGAACTGCATAGTCCACCTCAATGTTGACTTTGACGTGAGATATATGTGAGTGTCTTAGTAGGGCAACATATCAAGGCATAATTTCCAACCTATCCCGTTTTTGGAGTGCCGCGGATATTTCTCCCAAAAACCACATGTAATTATCTACTTGAGTTGAGGATATACTGAAGCAGTCATCATGACTAATTCGCATTAAGATGCAATGAATTCCAAAGTTAACCACGAGCACTGGCCATTCGCCTCGATGATGACCCCATCAAGACTTTGCTGGTGTTGATAACAATCAACATCCACTGTACGGAGCCAAACTGTTCTTGCGCAAGCTTCCAAATACCGAAGATCTCGAATAGGGACGCACTTTGCAAACGATAGCTTTATTAATGTACGAGTTTAGTTAGAAT